AGAGTGTTTATTTCGAGTGTCGGACAAATCGATCGATCGGTCTGGATAGTCCAGTCGAGTGGTTAGGATGAATATCATTCGTCTGTAGAAAATTCCTCGTTGCTTCGCTCGAATATTAATTCGATCGTCGAACCAGATAATCACCTGATTAAATCGTGGAATGCGATGGAAAAAAAGGCAATGAAGAGATCGGGCTATTATTCCCAGTAAATTATGCATCCAGTCCGTTTAATGGATCGGCGCTTTGGAAAATAATTTCTCAATACTATTCGATGAAAGAGGGATTGATGCATATGTATCAATTTTTTTAAATAAAAATATACGTACATATCAAATTATTTTTCTAGTATGAATATATGGCTTTTTAATTTTGCTTTAGTATTTTATGTGTATCTTTTATATTAATATTTATTAATATACATTAATATATTTGATATAAATTTATATCAGATTTATCTCTACTCTCTTGCAATCAGATATTTTCGTCGAAAAACTTAAAAACTTTACATATATCCAAAAATAAAACAACGAACGCTACTAATAATTGTTATAGGAATTGCATTTATCATTTTACTTTATTTCAATGTGCGCGTAGCGTACATTTTTTTACTCCGATAGGTTCCAAGTTAATAATTGTAGCTGTACGTTAAAACGTATTAATTACGAACGAAGCAAAACAATCAACTGCACAAGTTACACTATTGCTCGGTATATCGCACGAAAATTCTGCAACACCAATTTCTGCACGAGTTATTCCAGCGCGCAATTCGCAAAATTTATTGGGCGGCGCATTGTTATAACGCGGTAGAGAGAATAAATTGCTTGGCGGGTAGTCGAAAACAAGTGATGGAGTAACGAACGGCAAGTACCAATTTCGCTCTTTTCTCTTTCTCTCTCTCTCTCTTTTTTTTTACGATTTGCTGTTTGATTAACGATACATACATACCGCAAAACACACGAGCATTTCGGCGCGATCATATCATCGTGACTTCGCTCTACACGTATCTTTTTCCTATTGTGTGTTCTCGCGTCAGACTGTTGAGCAACAATGAACTGGACAAGATCAAAGCGGATGGTCTCTTCGAGAAGCTGCCGGAGTTGCAGCATCTGGATCTCAGGAAGAATAAAATCTCTCGCATCGAGGCGTCCGCCTTTCAAGGGGCTCACAACCTCACCGACCTGTAAGTCAACCCGAATTTACGCTCCTTTCGTACAAAAAGCCGGCTTCTTCTTCACGATGTCGTCGTCGTCGTCGTCGTCGTCATCGTTGTCTTGCCGGAAAACTTCGCTTTTGCCGGCACAATAGAAGTCGTTTTAAAAGTACTGTTGTGTAACGTCAGAATTGTTTTCTTTACGCGGTCTTCTTAGTCGATATTTTCAACTTTAGAGAATCTTTCGGGGAATTTTCGAAGGCTACATTGTCCCCAGGAAAATTATTAAAACAATGCCGACGGTTTTCCATTAAAGACTCGAGTGGTATCTTAAGTATTTATTTAACAGTTTGTGAAATTTTATCGCAAATAATTTATATCTGCATACCGATTACTAGAAATATTACAATGTCATAGATATAACTACTCTTATTGACAATTAATCTATAAATACAGTATATTAATTAATCTAATATATATTTATATACATTGTTTTATCACGTCTTATGAAATAGTAAATGACATACAAGAATTTAAATTGTAATTACCGTATTAGTCCTTCTTGTCATTTATTATGTACAATTTATAATTTAGTAGATGGCAAGGATCATAAATCTTTCATAGTTAATAGCTATATATATTTTTAAAGCATGCACATATCACGCGCGGTACCATCTTCGAAATGTCTCGCATACCTTCTCGCATACCGTCTTTCATACGCATTCAATGATATTTATCGACTCGTAAAAGTAACGACAGCAAATTGTAATTTGCGACGCAACTCAGTTTGCAATCCTTTCTCATTTTGTCGTACGCCTCGTTTCGTGAAGTGACGAACTTTCTCTTCGCAGGCTTCTGTCCGAGAATAGGCTGCGAGAAGTACACAACAAGATGTTCTCCGGTTTGTCGAGCCTTAAAACGCTGTAAGTACCTCATTGATACAACATACCGTCTTCGTTGATAAAACGATATCGTATAATATAAACGGTGATTCGTATAATTCACTCTGCGTAGGAATCTCCACGGTAATACCATTACGTGTGTTATGCCGGGATCGTTTGAAGGAATGCC